ATCGGACAAAAAATGTAAAATTATTTTAATTTGAAAATTTATGTTACAATGTGAATTCACCAAGATATATTAAAACATAGATTTTTTCTATAAAAAAAAATCCATTCAGTTTTTTTCCCCCCTCTCCTCGTCTTCCTTCCACTTTTTACAAGCAAGTTTTTTTTTAAAAAAAAAGTAGTTTAGTTTCATCTTCTCTTTCTCCTTTTTTTTTTTTTAGTTTAGTTTTACTATACATGTTTTTTTCTTTTTTTTTCCCATTGCTTTTTTTCATCAATTTGGGTTCTTTTAACTTTTTAAAATTTTCAAATTTGTTTTATTTTGATCTTTAAAATTTTTAAAAATTTTAATCCCCTAACCGATGCACTACACGGTTTTTTTCTTTGTTTTTTTTTTTATTGAATTAGGTGTTAAAATTTTGAAAAATCAATTTATCTTTTTTTTCATCAATTTATGTTCTTTTTATATTTAATTAGATGTTATCAAAATTTTAAAAAATCAATCATTATTTTTTTACACAAACTAACTATTATATAATATATTCGATATTTTTTATATTTATATGTTTCTTTACACAAACCGACTATTATATATATATATATATATATTCTTTTTTTAGTTTCACTATACATGCCTTGTTTTTCCTTTGCTTGTTTTGTTCATCAATTTATGTTATTTTTTATTTAATTTTTTAAAAGTTTTACATTATTTTATTTTGATCTCTAAAATTTTAAAATAAAAATTTTAATCCCCTAACCGATGCATTACATATGCTTTTTCATTTTTTTCTTTGCTTTTTTCTTTCCATCAATTTATATTTTTATTTAATTAGGTGTTAAGATTTTAAAAAATCAATCGTTATTCTTTTTTTTTTTTTTTTTACACAAAGTGACAATTATAAAATATATATGATAATTGTTACATTTATATGATATGTTTTAAGATTTTAGAATAAATAAACTACTATTATTGTTTAAAATTAATTTTTTTCTCATCAAGTTAATTTTTATTCTTATTTTTTACATAATTTTATTTACTAATAGATATGACTTATTTTCTGTATGTATGGTTTTGAATAATTTTTTTTATACCTGTTTTTATTTTTATTTTTAATTCTTATATAATCAAATTTTAAAAATTGAATATATGTATTTTATTTTCTTATTTTTATATAATCAAATTTTATTGAAATCAATTTTATAGTTTTTACTATACTCTATTAACTTAAATATAAATTTTACTATTTAAATTTTTAAAAATATTTTTCAGTTTATTTTATACATTCTCACCTATTGAGTATGGTCATAATGTATACAAAATAATAATATTAGAATCATTGATTTTATTAAAAAGCAACTATGCATCTATACACACAATATCAACTATTTACTATTTTTTTATATATTTAAAATTTTTTTTTTCAAATAAAATAATTGAAATAATATTTTAGAATAATTGCCTAATAATTTAAATACAATTTTGTATACTAATATTATTCATTATTTTGTAAATAAATATACGTAAATCAAGTGTATATATTTTTAAAAAATCTTTTCATTTGTAAAAAAGTTTCATTTGTTAATTTTCATACAAGTTTTTATGTTAATTTTTGCTTTATTTCTTTGATGCAATATAATGAAAAAAAAGATTAAGATGTTTTTTCTAAATTTATATTAAAATTTGTTTGTTATGGGTTTTCATATATATACTATCTTTTTTATATTATAAAATTAACATATATATTTTAGCTTATATTACTGTTATAATTTAAATTTCATTATTTGAATTCATCATTTCTTATGAAAATTCTCATCCAATTAATATTTTTTATATAATATTTTATTTACTGATAAATATAATTTATTTTTCTCTATATTTGAATTTTAGAATAAAATTTTAAAACATGATTTTTTTTAAAAAAAATAAATTGGTATAATATATATCATGAATTCTTACAATTTTAAATGATATTTGCATATATATATATATATATATATATATATATATATATATATATATCTAAAAGGTTAAAAGTGTATTTTAAATAATTTGTCTCAGTTTAGTAGATATGGTCAAGATGTATAAAAAACTATTGAATCATTAATTTTATTTAAAATTAACTATATATCTTTCGACCTTATATAAAATATTTACCATGAATATTGTTTTAACATTATAGAATCAATTTATTTGAAAAAAATTAAAATAATGTTTTAAAGGAACCAACTAATTATTTAAATATAGTTTTTTATGCTAATTCTATTTATCATTTTGTAAATAAATATATATAGATCTAATGCATATACTTGAGAAAAAAAAATCTTCTCACCAATAGTAAATAAAAAATAAAATTTTATTTTTTCATTCTTCAATTTTTATGCAAATCTATACATAAATGTAACTTTATTTTTTTGATGCATTCTTATAAAAAAATATAGTTTTAAAGTATTTTCTTTTGAATTCTTAATTAATATTTAAGGTTTAAATTATTACAAGTTTTTATTTAAGAATTTCTGAATAGAAAAGAATAAATCATGTTTTTTTTTTTAAGGAGAAAATTTATGAAATTTTTTTTAATAATTAAATAAAAATTAGTGAAAAAATTATAAAATTTTTAAATGATTTTGTTCTATCTATATGTGGTGTTTCTGAGATAATTTCAAAAGTTATCTTCTCATCAATATTAAATAAGATTTTTCTCATTTTTTAATTTTTGTAAAAGTCTATCCATTAATTATAACTTTATTTTTTTGAATACAATATTATGAGAATTATATTTTAAAAGTTTTTTAATTCTTGATTAATATTTTATATAAAATTATTATATATTTTTTTATTTTAAAATCAATCCATAAAGAAAAATGATTTATGTTTTTTTAAGTAAAAAAATTTTAAAAATTAAGTGAATAAAAAAATGTAATTAAAAAATTTTAAAATGATTTTTTTTATCGAATCCGCAGCGTAGCGCGGGCAAGTGACTAGTAAAATCTAAAACTCAATGGATTTTTAACTAAAAAATTATGTTTTTCAAAAAAAATCTAATACAAATTCTCTAAATAAATATTTTTAATTTTTAGATTATATATATATATATATATATATATATATATATATGCCGATATCATTTTAAAATTCTTAGAGTCCATCATATAAACTTATTTTTTTAAAAAATAATCACATTCTAAAATTTTATTTAAAAATCCACACACATAGAGCAATAAATCATATTTATCGATAAATAATATTGAAACAAAATAAAAATTTAAATAAAAAATAATTGGATGGAAATCTCTATAAGAAATGACAAATTGAAGAAATAAATTTTAAATAATAAAAATAATATAATCTAAAATATATTTTTATTTTAAAATATGAAAATAGATTATATATATTTGTTTCTCATTAGATTGTACGAAAGTAAAAATAACATTCAATATTCTAGAATATCCACCTAGAAATCTTTAGAGAAAAAAAGGAAAAAAGAAACACAGCTAATAACTAGGCCTGCATGTCCGAGCGTGGAGGAGCAAACCCTATTAGGAATGTCTATTTTTTTTTAAAAAAATTACAATTTCTAGCAAGCCGATTTTCGTTGAAAACATTGTCGAAAATTTGTGCTTTTGGTTTCCGACTTCTCCAAAGCCAAATTCTATCCAAATTTTATTTTTTCAAAAACAACTCAAAATCACAAAAGTAATGTAAAAAAAAATAAAAAATTTAGAGTCTCAAAATTCATTGTTTGCAATCCAATAAAATATGAAATTATTAACAATTATATATATTACTTATACTATTTTCATATAGTCGATGTGAATATAATGATAGATAAATTATAAATTACTCCTCCTTATTTTGAGAAATGAATTAATTAGTCATTTTGATTTCAAAAAATAATTATTTAATATTTTTATTCAATGTTGAAGACGGCAAATTTATTTTTTTATTTTCTAAAATGTCTTATTCTCTCATCAATTTTTTTATATTTCTATATATTTTGTACTTCTTTTCTATTTATTTTAAAAAGTAAAAAAATATGAAAAATAGCAAAAATGATAAATAAATAAAATGATTTTAAAATCGGATGGACTAATTAATTTGTTTCTCTAAAAAAGAGGGACTAATTTATAATTTACTCTTTGAGTCTCCTCTCCTCTCACTGAAATCAAGAGGGGAAAAAATGAATGAGATAAGCATTAAATGCTTTATCGGAAAAGAAAGGAAAATGACTGAAAAATACTAAAAGAGAAATAAGAAAGATATAATTAGTGAAGGACAAATGTGAATTTTAATAAATCCAGTGAGTAGCAATAAAAATAATTAAATGTAAAAGAAAAGGTCATTTATAATGCGGATGAAAAGAGAAGAAGGGAAATGACGAAAAAGGTTAAGAAAAAAATTAAAAAGAGAATCAGTCAATGGTGAATGTGAATTTTCACAAATCTACTGAATGATAATAAAAGTAATTAAAGAAAAAAAAAGGCCTTTTAAGACGTAAAAGAAAAAAAAACCCAATCTATAGTAAAATGTGAGTAGATAAACAGTATATGAATAAAAAAACCCTCATTTGTTTTAGTGTTTTTTGTAATACTTGTGTGATTGTTGTAGCAAATTTTTGTTGTCTTTTCATTGCTCTCAAGAGCAGTTCGAAAAAACTTGAGATTTGAGTTTAAAATTCGGTTTGAATGAATTTACCGAGCTAGACTGAGACAAATAAGAAAATAAACCAGGCCTGATTTAGGCTCAATTTTAATTTAGTAAGTACCAAACTCGGATGAAAGGAGAGTTGTCGTAGATGGCCAAAAATATACTTTTTTATAGTATGGATTAAAGTTTCATTTTCATAATTGAAATTTCCAATTAAGACTTTTTTTTTTTTTTTTGGGTTTAAAGTTCCATATCATGTGGTCAACCTACTTATAATTTCTGGAGGTTTCCAAGTTAATCAATCTTTTTAATGCATACATAATACGAATTTACCCAATATGTTGTATACAATACAACAGCTAGAAGTGACAAAATGACACTGAAATAATAAAGAAACATCTTGATCTCAATGAAATGCTGAATGTCATCCCATTCGGACATTGACTTTGCAATTGGCAGACAGAAAAGCCATTATTAGAATAAGGTAGGAGGTTAATTAAGATGGCAAACTCTACACTAGGCAACCATGGGATAGGCATGATGCAATTATCACCATTGAAATAGATTCTCCGAGGGAAGGCCCAGCCCTTCTGGGAAGTAAAAGTTGGTGCCTTGTCTTTTCGGAAAAGCAACTCCAGCTGAACATTACCAGAACGACCAGCTTGCATCAGCACATCATTGTAGGACTTAATTCCCCACAGCATGGTAGTATCATCTGAAGTGTCCGAAAAGTACAATATGATGATCAGAATTAACCCCTAATCACATATTCCATTGATCCAAAAGCAAATAAAAGCAACCACAAGGAGACATGTGACTTACTAGTAGTTGAATAAGGAGCTAATGATTTGTATTTAGCGCTGAAAGCCTGGGTCAGATGGTCGAAATTGGGGTGTTGGACAACTAAGTTCCATTGTGTATAGTTCATATGATAATTCAAATTTGTAATGGTGATCTTAACCCGTCAGTAATCCATGTAGTTAAGCTTAACATGCCAGTTAATTTTGATTGGGCACATATGAATCGAGCATTGGACAAGAGGCGTAAGGCTGTTCTTTTGGCCTGGACTTGGAAGCTGTGGTGATTTTGGACTGCAAACAAGAAATTGTAAAGCAATGGTAAATTTAGTCTATCTTGAGCAAACTAGACCTAGAAGAGAAACCATATTCCTGGGAGGGAAGGAACTTACTCTACACAACCCTTTGAAACAGTAATGCTTTTTGGGCAGCCACAAGAAAATGTTGGGCAGGGTGCTATTGTCTTGTTGAAAGATGAGAGGGAGAAACAACAAGCACGAGCCTTGTGAGCCAAAAATTGTGAATATGTGCATGTAATATTCCAGGTCACTGCAATTAGAAAAAAAAAAAAAAAGTATGAAACTTATTTCCAATATCTCCATGGAAGCAGGCAAGCATTGGTTTTTTTGTCACTCCGAATTAAAATTCATTGAATCACATATATTTTAGAGATCCACCATATTTGCTAGAGATAGATGTGGGTTAAAGCAAGATTTTGATTATAAGAAAGGAAAATGTACGTACATAAGTTGTTCTACACTCTACAGTATTACTTACTCAAAGCTTGTGTCACTCTCCTTTTATCTACAGTTATAAATGTAGTAGGTTTAACAATTTTTGCAAGACCACATGTATAACCAGGCCCTGGTGTCTTCAGAGTGATGTTTCGAGGCAATCTGACTGTTTTATTACTAGTTCCAGCTGAACCAACGCTAAGTTGGAAGGAACTTACTGCATTGGCTGGATCTTGAGCCCATGAGTTGATAACTCCCCCTTGCAGCAGTTTGAAACCTATTGGTTGTAAGGAGTTCCTGGCAATAAATCTACAACTGTCAGAGTCTTTTTACAACAATGTGGAACATTTCCTTTGAATTTTGAACAATCTCCCTGCTCTGTTGTTTGGCCTCCCATCATGCTCCATATCACCTCGTCCTTTGCCCATGTCCATACTAACGACCAACCCGGTGCTTGAGTGTGACGATACCGCTGGTAGTTGTAGATTGTGACAACAACCTATCGATTCATGAAGATGTTAGCAAACCACAGGTGTAAGAAGCTCAAGAGAAACTACAAGTACAATGGAAGCTAATAAATCACAGATATAAGAGAAATGTGAAACAGAATACTACAGAATGCGTTCATTATGCTCATGTGCGTCTTGGGGATTCACTGCCTGCTATACTAGCTAATCCGCCTTTATTGAACTTCAAAATATAAGGTTTCTAAACAGTGATTGGTACTTACTACATAGCCATCAGGGGTCCAGCTCAAGACATCCCATTTTATTGTAATATTCCCATTTGGATCAAGAGGATCATAGGCTTCTGAAAAATTGATAACAGCAACTTGTGTTAGAATACAATGGCATAAAAGGTTGTAGTATAAAGAATTAGACATTATACATTATGAGGAAGAAGGTCTAAGAGCTCGAAAATCAAACATAGTGACTAACAATGAAAATGGCAATGAGATTATATTTTATCTATAATGTTACAGAAACTTCAAACCAAAACATTTCAGAAACAAAAAAGGAATGAAAAGAAAATCATATGCTGCACCACTGAAAATTTTTCTTTTTCCTAGTTGCTCATTCCTAGTTAATAATCTAGCTAGAATGAAGAAACCAAAAACAGAACTCAATCCATAGTAGAAAACAAAAGCAGAAGAAGAACAGTCAATCTTGAGATCATTAAACAATCCCATTTCTTAGAAACAAGAAAAACAGTAGACATTAAAAAAAGAGAGAACTTTGCAAACCTATTGACGTGAAGCTAGTACAAGAAAGCAGAAGCAGAAGCAGAACAGTTAATCTTGAAAGCAAACTCATTATGGGAGAAACAATAAAGCTCGGGTCCTGATCCAGATTGTGTTCTGTTTTCTGGTTCTTTATTAAGTTGCAGACGCAATAAACAAGGGGGACTTTAAGCCCACTAGTCAACAGTTCAGCAACACGGATTAGTGAAGTCAACCTTCATAAACGTTTATTAAAATTTGTTTCTCCAAACTAGAAAAACTAATTTATAATTTATTCTAGTTAACTAATTTAGCCAAGTCAACCATCATGAACGTTTATGATTGCAAACCATCATAAAAGTTTGATAACAGACTCTTCTTTATATATATATATATATATAAAGAAGAGTCTGTTATAAAAAAAATATTTGCAAGGTGCTAAAAGGAAATGTAATTAATAATATGACAGGATATCAAATTTAGTTTATAAATTATGAAAAATGTACTAAAATAGTATTAATTTCTGTTTTTCTTTAGATCAAACTAGATTTTTTACTCGCGATATGCTATGGGTCGGATAAAATATATAAAATTATTTTTAAAACTTATTTTATTTTGATATCTCATATTATATTATGTGACTACCAAAATATATCAAATCAAAAAATGAATAAAAATTCATTCAATTTTTTAATCAAAATTTTGTATTTGATCGACTACTCTTTATATTTTTCATAAATTTTTGATTAAAAAATATTATTTATTTATCTCTACGCACAAACTAAATTTTTTTTAATAGTATAAAGAATGTCAAAACCAATGGATTCTTAGCTAAAAACTTATTTTGTAATTTTTTTAAAACATTTTTTTTGCCTTAAATTTTTTGATTAAAAAAAATTAGAGAAAAAAGAACCAAAGTGACCAAAATAAAACAAAAAAGAGGAACAAAAACCAAACAAAAACTATTTGCAGATTGGAAAATTAATATTTAAAAAAGAGATACTAAAGTATAATATTATGAAAACTTTTCTTAAATTTTTTGATTAAAAAATTAGAGAAAAAAAGGGACCAAATTAAAAAAAAACAAAACAAAAAAGGACCAAAATGATCAAAATAAAACAACAAAGAGGGACCAAAACAAAAAAAAATAGTTACGGATTGAAAAAACAATATTTAAAAAAGAGGGACCAAATGTAATGTTACAAAAAATTTCATAATAAATATTTAAAAAATATTTAAAAACTATAAAAATATTACTAAATATTGAAAGAAATAGCGCATCAAAGTCTCGGGTGAACGAGTGTTTCAAATAGTGAATGAATAGTAATCTAACATTTTACTTTTGTTTTATATATAATTACTTTTGAATTCGTCCGACTTACCCAAATAATTTGATTGATTTTTCAATAAAGAATTTTATTTTATTGTTTTTAGAGGAAGATGATGGAGAGTTAGTGAAAAGATGAAAGTAATTTAAGGTTACATTTGTTTGATGAAAAACAACTTTCAATAGGAAAAAACAATTTTGAAGAAGTTATTTTTCAGGAAATTGTTTTTCACAAAAATATTTTCCGATATTTGACAATTACATAAAAAATTGCTTACATACTTTTTTTGTTATTATTCCTAATGAAAATGGACGAAGGAGGAAAATTAGAGCAAAAATAAAAGATATAAAAACCAATTGGAACAATAGTAAAAGACAAGGATGAATTGAAACAAATCAAAGATTCGAGGTGAAATTAGTGAAATTAAGACAACATATAAACATCATATGGAAAATTAAAATTTATCTTAAAATTAACATTTGAAAATTTCAACTTATAACTTAGGTTTTATTTGGATATTAATCAATTAGAAAAAGGGTTTACCCTACATTTGATCCTTTTTTTTTAATTATTATTAAGGCCTTTTTTAATTTTTTAGCTTGATTGCAACGTTCTACTTTTAAAAATTTATTGATTCAAACCCTCCATCAACTCGTTCATTCGATGTGATATGTTAAAACTAACATTAATCAATTACAAATAAATGCATAGCATTGTGGCTCCAAATATCATAGTTTTTCATTAAAAAAATTAAAATAAAAAGATTTTATTATTAAACTAATATTTAGTATTTAAAAATAAATTTAAAAGACAAAACTGCCTCCACTCCATTATCCCAACCCAAGTCTTTCTTTTTCATTATTAAGCTTTATTTTCTTGGCTTAAAATTCCAAAAAATCACAAACTATATACATTTTAATGATTTTAGCTCGTTCTTTAAAAATTGTATAGAAAGGTCATTAACTAAACATTCGATAATAATGCTAGCATCGATTTGATTTTTTGATCAAAATTTCAATTAATACCGATATGGCGAGTGACGAAACATGACACGTGGACTTTAACAAACCACACATGATCCACGTAAGCATGACACATGGACTTTAGTGAGTTATGTAGAATTCATCTAATTGATTTTCCATGTCATTGATTACGTGAATCTTATGTATGTTGCTAAAGTTCATATGTCATGCTTACATGGATTTTCATGTCGGTTATGATCGAAGTTTTAGTCAAAAAATCATATCGATGCTAGTATTGTTATCGGTAGCTTAGTTGGTGATATTTCTAGATAATTTTTAAAGAACGAGCTAAAGTCATTAAAAAGTATATAGATAGTAATTTTATGAAATATTGAGATTATTTTCTTTGTCAAACTAATTCTTTGGTCTCTTTCATTGAAAATTTGTAATCCCTAAATTCTTAAATTTGTAAATCACTAAAATCCTATTAACCCAAACCCATATCATGCATTTTCTGAACCTGTTATCAAACAAGGTTGAAATTTTTCAATCGTATAATCTTTTGGCTTCGATTTTGATGGTTTTGGTCAATCTTCTCTATCTGGAGCCTTTGCCTACAAAGATATTTTTATTTTATTTCGTTTTGTTCCTTTGCTTTATGGTTAACTAAATAACACTAGATTATATTTAGCCGGGACTAGACCATTAATTTTCTGGCTATATATCATGTATCAACAATGACAGTCATGGTTATGTTTGTTTTCATTGTTGGAGCCTTGGAGGGTTGGAAAATAAGAAGTCAAGGGAATTAAGTTCTTAGCCATAAGATGCAGGAGATGAAAAAAATAATTCAGGCGAATTAGAATGAAAATTGAAAAGGAAGAAGGGAGAAGAAGAGAAAGCCCTACTGTGAATTAAAAGGCAGGCAATGTTTGAGAGAACGAAAATTGAAAAGGAAGAAGGGAGAGGAAGAGGAAGCCCTACTATCAAATCCAGTGAGAACATTTCATTTGCTTTGTTCTGAGTTTTGTTACAAAACCAAATTTGTTTCTTTTGTTCGTAATAGTCATTAGTTCCATCATTCTTTCTACCGTAAATTGGGATATGAATGGTCTCATTAATAACAGTGAGGAGAGAGAATGGGCTTGTGAAGGAAAAAGGATCGGGTTGGAAGATAACAAGGGCGGGGTGATTATTATTATTTTTTAATTTTAAGTATTAATTTATTAATAAAAACATTTTTAAATCATTTCTTTTTTAATTTTGTATCGATTTGAAATTCATTAAGACACATGTCATTTAGTTATTGGTTATCGTTATCGTTAATTTTAATTTATCACATCGGATAAATAGTTAACAATATTATAACGAAGATTCTGAATTAATAAATTCATAAGGATAAATAATTTTTTTTTGTTTTAAAAACGATGAAATAAAACGGGATAAAACTATTGGTAAAGTGCTAATATTATAAACTGGTAATGTCGCATCGTCTCCACTCTGATTTTCAACGGAGAAAATTTCAAAGTCAGCTTAATAGTGGGACAATTCGTTAGTGGGGCTTACTATAAGGAGCAATCGTTAATTAATGCATGCAGATCGTATAAGTCTTGGATTCTGTACCAAAGAAATCTTGCATGCGCAAAACAATAATGGTGTTTGAGGAGACCGAAAGCCGAAAGAGCAATTTTATTTTGAGAGAGATGCTCAAAATCCATGAACATTGACCGAAACTGGTGTAGTGTGGGAGGGAAAGGACGCAAGGTCTTGGCTGTTTTGGCTGTCATGGTTTGACGATCCATTGTTTGTTTGGGCTTTAGCGTGTTTGGTGGTTTGGATATCGAATTTAGCCCAAATTGTAATATTGAGTCACAACACCTATTTTGCCGTGAGCTTCTGATTTACCGATTCGCCTTCGTCTCCTGCAAGTTTGACTATGGAGTTACTTCTTTTTATTAAATAAATTCAGACACGTTTTTCTTTTTAACTTTGTATACTCAACTTTTTTCCAAATACATAAATTAGTCCCTATAATTAAACAATCATATTAATCACAATAAAATATAGTGTTGTGGGTATAACACATTCCTACTAACGAAGCAAATAGTTATAATCTAGTTGTGTATCTGATAATTATTTTCTATAAAAAATAAATTTTAATATTTTTAATAATTTTGTAATAAATGAGAGCTATCTTCGTTATCCAATTCAAGGTACGTAAATAAAGTTACGGCCTTAACCACGTTATTAGACCTTCTCATCACGAAAAACCCTCCAAACCAAACCAAAATTCCCCGTCAAATATAAAGCCGCGTCGCCTCCATTGAAAATTTTATAAGGGAAGTACGCTTTATAATTTTATTTTGACAACAAAATGATTAAATCAATAAAAAATAAAATAAGGAAACGAAACCAAAGTCAGACAAAACAAGAGTAATTATAAATTAGTCTCTCTAATGTTTTAAAAGGAATTGAATAATCCCTTTAGTTTCAATACTTAATTAATTAGTCCTTATATTTTAAACTTATTTATAACTTAATTCTTTTCAATTTATATATTTTAAATAAATAAAAATTAAAAATTAAAAAAGAAGATATTTTTTAAAATAAATATTAAATTAACTATGATCAATACTGATTAAGGAACTATATTTTAATTTGTTTTTAAAAAAGAGACTATTTAAGTTACTGTACAAAATTAGAGGGACTAATTTATAATTTAATCGACAAAATAATCGTTTTGTTTGCGCTCCAAGCATTTTTTTTTGTTGCATTTCGCGAAAAAAGAAAAAGAAATCAAACAACTATAAATATATTAATAAAAGAAACGAAAAGTCCACTATTCTTTCTTTCAATATTTGTGCAGCAGCGGTGGTTCTTTTACCAAATCAATTCAAAAACTCTTCAAAATTGAATATCTTTTAGTAACAATAAAAACAAAATGCGCTCTTGATTTCCTTTCCTCTCCTCTCCTTCCGTTTCCCAATTTTTATTTCTTTTTTTAATTTATAGTGTATTCTGGAAGCTCCTCAGATTCAATCAAATCAAATGGCAGCATCATCATTAGGCCAGACCGAGATCAACTGGGACAAGTAATTGCCTTCTCATTTCTTCTTTAGTCATTTGTATTGTCATGGATTGATTATTATTCGTGAAACTGAAGTTTTGTTCAACTTTCTGTTGGCTTGTCTTGTTTATGGTTTTCTTTTTCTTTTTCTTTTTTTAAATCAAGTAATCTTAAATATATGAAAATGGGTTTATGGGTTAATGTATATTTGATTGGTTTTCTCATCTAATGTTTATAAATTGGAAATGGATGCTTTGGAATAGACCCACATGAGGTTTTTGCTCCATTCCCTTATGACACCAATACATCGATGTTTTTTGCATTGGTAGTTCATTTATTATGAATGCTTCAAGGAATCCAAGAAACCAGCTTGATGGGCTTGGTTTCGGTTTTATTATTATTATTATTAATTGGGTTTAGGGAGTATTTGTGATTGTAATGAAGGATTTTATGATGGGAAATACAAGACTTGAAGAGGGCTTTTTTTTTTAAAAAAAATAAAAATAAAAAATAAAAATCTGTAAATCGTTCGAATCCTCAATTTGCATCTCTCAGTGTCTTATTCCCGCTACATGTTATTTTGCAGGCTCGATAAAACTAAGTTTTATGTTGTAGGAGCTGGTATATTTACTGGGGTTACAGTTGGATTGTATCCAATGTCTGTTATAAAAACTAGACTTCAGGTTGCCACGAAGGATACTGTTGAGAAAAGTGCATCTTCTGTTATTAGAGGCATACTGAAAACAGATGGGATTCCTGGTCTCTACAGAGGGTTTGGTACAGTCATCACTGGTGCAGTTCCTGCTAGAATTATCTTTCTTACTGCATTAGAGACCACGAAAGTGGCTACTTTCAAGATGGTTGAGCCATTTAAATTCTCTGAACCTACACAAGCAGCCTTAGCAAATGGTATTGCTGGCATGTCAGCATCTCTTTGTTCTCAAGCTGTCTTTGTTCCCATTGATGTGGTATGTGATTCTTGTTCTTTTCAGCATTTATCAGATAGTAAAAATTGGGGGGGTGTGGTTCCAAGTGATGTTTATTTATCTAGTTGTTGTGGATAGAATTTTATGTTATGTAGGAGCAACATTTATTTTTTAACTAGGAGGCAACTAATAATTTTATGTCTCTAATCAAAAACCATTAAGCAAAATGTTGGACATATTATCAAATGATCTCTGGTGCACAATATTTACTAGCACTTATTTCATAATAGGATTTGCATTTAACTTCTGCACTGTACTTAGTGAAGTCTTGCAAACCCATCCTTCCCTTTCTTTTCTTTTTACCCAGAGAAAAAAGGTAACAAAAATGCTGAATTTCTTTGTAGTGATTCTGTTCAGATTAGCCAAAAGTTGATGGTACAAGGGTATTCTGGTCATGAGAAGTATAATGGGGGTCTGGATGTTGCACGGAAGATTATAAGGATTGATGGCATCAGAGGATTTTACAGGGGTTTTGGTCTATCAGTCATGACTTATTCACCATCTAGTGCTGTATGGTGGGCAAGTTATGGTTCAAGCCAACGCATCATCTGGAGGTGAGACATGAGACAGTGCTTATTTTTCCATTTATTTCAACATTTCTAAAGAGCTCAATCAACTTAAGGATCCGGCGTGGTGGTTGTTATACAGTTGTCTGTCCTCTAGTTTAAGAGACCATGATGTGCCTTGAGATTTTAGTTTGGGGATTTGGGATATAGATTGAACTGAAGGAATTGTTCTTTATAATATTTTTGAGTTTTCACAATCCTCAATGTCCTCTACCTTGACAAGGGCTTCTTGACTGCAGTGAAAGGTTTCTGAAATTGATGATTAGCTGACTTTAAATAAGACAGGAATACTGATAATGGTTATTCACAGACAGGAAGCATTGTGAGGTCAGAAATGTAGTTATATAATGGTAAATTGTTGGGTTTGGAGTGCACCAAGTGGCTATGCTGCATGCATGCAAATATACAAGTAATAGCAGACTGTTTGACGGTTTTAGAGGTTGATTGGCTATAATCAAAATCATGTTTTTGTCAACCTTTTACAACTAAAATGGACAATCTAATTTCTGCGTGATATAGTATCTGATTATTTTGGTCAGGTTTTTAGGCCAGGGTACTGATTTTGAGGCGGCTGCTCCTAGCGGGTCAACTATAATGCTAGTTCAGGCTACTGGGGGAATTATTGCAGGAGCTACAGCTTCCTGCATCACAACCCCGTTAGATACAATTAAGACTCGCCTACAGGTATTCTTAAACCTACTTGAAGTTGAAACACAGTCTTCACTTCACTATTTTCTTTTTGCTCCTTTTGCTTCATGTTTTAAGTGCACAGACAACCCATAAACCAGTGCATGTGTAACCTTCTTGGAAGAAAACCTGTAAACCAGTGCCTATATAAACTTCTTGGAAGAAAAATTTAAAGCATTACAGCGAGTTTTAGCTTCAAATACTTAAGCAAATAAAGACATGGAGCTTTAGTTTCCAGCTAGACAGTTCGGCAGTTGGCCATGTGACATCCTGTCTACCATTTTCTCTATTATTTGCTGAATTGAATAATTAGTTGCAGTCTTTTCTAACCTCCCTGGCCCTCATTTTTGCCAGATTTGCTTGGCACTTTTGATATCTCCACATGCAAATTAATCAATTTTCTGGACTACAGAATTTTTGTCTTTACCAGTTCTCCTTCTGCTAATGGATTTTTGTTTCTTAATAACCCTTGCCTATTTTTTGGGAAATTTACATTCTTGCTTTAATTTTAACTCGGTGGAAAAACGCCATTGAAGAAGAAAATATAGCTCATACAAATGCTAAAGTCTTTTCTGAGATTGTATTGTGGAAAAAGAAAATCCGGGGGCCATTGCTTGATGCAATGCAATGATGAAGTTTTGCACTTGGGCTTACAACAACAAGGTTTTCTCTAAATTCACTAGCCTGCAATATGAATTTAATCTATTTTCTTGTAATCCAACCTTAAAAAGCTTCTTCTTATGTGGTTATATTTCCTTTTTTTTTTTTTAACCCTCTTTTAATAAATTTCATTTCTGCTAACTTTGTTGGTTTCTAATTTTTTTTTCATCAGTACTGCTTTTAGTATTGGGCTTATGTTTCTTCATAACCATTCCTTGTTTTACTTCAACTTGGTGGAAAAACATCATTGAAAAAAAGAAGACAATATTAGTTCATATAAATGTTTAAGTCCTTTCTTAAAAAGCTTAGTGAAAAAGTAAATTTGGAGGCCATTGCTTGCTGCAGTGATAAGGTTTTGGGCTTAGGCTTACAACCACAAGGCTTTCTCTAAATTCTTATCATGCAACTGAACTTAATGGGGATTTTCTTGTCATCCAACCTTAAAAGAAGCTTATATCTTATATGGTTGTAGTCCCTTTTTTTATTATTTTATTTCATTTTCTTTTTGTTTTAATTGTTTAGGTGATGGGACTTGAAAGAAGAAGCTCTGCAAGACAGGTTGTTAAAACCTTAATTAAGGATGATGGTTGGACAGGTTTCTATCGAGGATTGGGTCCCAGATTTTTCAGCATGTCAGCATGGGGAACAACAATGATATTAGCCTATGAATATTTGAGTATGGGTTCTTTCCTCTCTTTTACTTTTGGCCTTATGTTTTTCTTTCGTACAATGAGATTACTAATTTGAGAATTTTAAGAATGTAAATATCTGATTTTAGGGCTTCAAACAATAATGTGGTTTGCAGGTCACTGACGGCATTTTATAATCTACCCCCTTGATTCCCTCCTTGTTCCATTAGCTTCTATTGAATTGGTCTAAACCTTGTATATGCACATTCTGGGGGTCTTTTTCCCCGCTTCTGCGAACTGCATTTTGGAATCCATTTGATTTGGCATAATTTGAACTGGAAGAATGAATAGGGTTTATCTCAATATCTTGTTTTCTTATGTGATGGAGCATTTTATTCTTCGTGTAGAAATATGAGAATAGGGTAATATGTTCTCTCATTAAAGTGCATAAGTACAACATGTATATATACAAATCTAGGATCAGTCTAAATCCTTATAATCAAACCTAGAAATCAGCCCTATCATTAACTTACTATGTTTACGTGAGAATCAATCCTATAGTTGACTTACTATATTTACAACACTCCCCCTCAAGCTGAAGCATAGATGTTAATCATGCTCAACTTATTACAAATAAAATCAATCCTAGGATCCTTTAAAGCTTTGGTGAAGATATCACCTAGTTGTTCTCCAGCTTCGATATGACTTGTAGAGATCAATCATTGTTGAATTTTCTCATGGATAAAGTGACAATCAATCTCGATGTGCTTAGTCCTTTCATGAAAAACTGGATTTGATGCAATATGAAGAGCAGACTTGATTGTCACACCGTAATTTCATAGGAAGAGGATTTTCAAGACCAATCTCATTTAACAATTGAGATATCCACACAAGTTCACATGTGGATTGGGCCATAGCTCTATACTTCGATTCTACACTAGATCGAGATACAACATTCTGGTTCTTGCTTTTCCATGACACCAAATTTCTACCAACAAAAACACAATACCTTGTAGTAGATCTTTTGTCAATCTTAGATTTGGCCCAATATGCATTTGAGTAGCACTCAATATTGGAATGACCATGATTACTATAGAGTAAACCATGCTTTAGAGTCCCTTTGAGATAACATAAAATTTGTTCTAATGCTGCCCAATGAGTAACTCGAGGAAAGGACATAAGCTGACTCACAATGCTAAAAGGATATGCAATGTCGGGACGAGTTGCTATGAGATAATTTAGTTTTTCAACTAACCTGCGATATTTCTCGGGATCGGCAAATAACTCCTCATCATTTGTTGTAAGCTCGTAGATTAGTAGCCATTGGTACATTAGAAGGTTTAGCTCCTAATTTTTCAGTTTCTTTCGATAGATCAAGAATATACTTTCGTTGAGAAAGAAAAATACCCTTCTTGGACCCGGTAACTTCAATACCTAAGAAATACTTCAATAAACCCAAGTCTTTTGTTTGGAATTTGGTATGGAGAAAAGACTTAAGGGCCAAAATACCAGCATCATCATTCTAGTAATCACAATATCATCAAAATATACAATTAATAAGATAATACTAGTTTTCGACTATTGGTAGAAAACGAGTATGGTCACAAGTACTCTTTTCGGACCAAATTCTTGAACCACAACACCGAGTCGCCCAAACCAAGCACAAGAACTCGTTTTAACCCACATAAAGACCTCCAAAGTTTATAGACTTTCCCATATCCCTTTGAGCAACAAACCCGTGTGGTTGTTCCATATAGACTTCCTCCCCGCTAATCACCATGAAGAAAAGCATTCTTGACATCTAACCGGTGTAAGAGCCAACCATTAGTAGCGATAAAAGATATAAACAAACGGATAGATGCAAGTTTGGCAACCCGAGAAAAAGCATCGAATAATCTACACCATAAGTCTATATGTTGATGAGCCACAAAACCGTTAGGATTAACCTTGACAACATACACTTATTTACAACCAATAGCCTCGTTTACCTTTTGGGAGATGCACCAATTCTCAAGTACCATTATCATCTAAAGCCATCATTTCCTCCTCCATAGCAATCGTCAACTAGGATGGGACAAGGCCTCATGCAATGTTTTTGATACGTAAACCGAATCTAATGAAACAATAAAAGAACGCAAAGAAGGAGACAAGTGGTCATAAGAAGCAAATGAAGAGATAAAATAAGAACAATGCCGTTTATCTTTACGAAGAGCAATGAGAAGATTAAGACTAGGATCCGTAGAGGGAAGAGTCGGCAGAGGAAGTGAGTTGATTTGGTTGTAGATCTCATGGGTGAATATGACGAGAGTAAACTTGGGTGATAGGTGCCTTAATGGGCATATGAGATTCAGTAGTTGTTGTCACATTATATATGAGAGTATCATCTTCCTCCCTCTCACAATTATATATAGTAGGATTATGAAAAAATGGAATAGTCTCAAAAAATTTTATATCGACCTGAAATCAAATAACGACCCAAAGGAGGAGAATAACATCCGTAACCTTTCCGAAGATGAGAATACCCCCAAAAGACACATTTGAGAGATTTTGGATCTAACTTAGACACTTTGGGACTAACATCACGAACAAAACATATATAACCAAAGACACGTGGTTCGATTGAAAATAAAGACCGAGAAGGGAATAAAACATAATGAGAAGTATCACCGTAAAGAACAGAGGAGGGTAACCGATTGATTAAGAAACATGCTATAGACACAAGCATCAACCAAAAATTGTTTAGGAACTTTCATCCGAAAAAGAAGGGCTATAGCAACCTCTAGTAAATGTCTATTTTTTCGTTCAACAATATCATTTTAAGGTGATGTGTCAAGTATATGATGATTGATGAAGAATTCCATTTTGTGTCATATAGGTATTGAATGACTAAGAGAAATACTCTTTTGCATTATCACTCCTCAAAACATGTACCGAAACATTAAACCGAGTTTGAATTTCAGCACAAAAAGCACAAAATATAGAGAATAATTTAGATCGATTTTTCATTAAATATAACCAAGTAACATGAGAATAGTCATCAACAAATGTGACAAAATACCGACAATCGCAGAAGTCACCGGACAAGGACCTCAAACATCGAATGAACTAACTCAAAGGGTGACATAACCCGTTTATTGACTCTAGGAAAATACGACACACGATGGTGTTTAGCAACCGACATGACTCACATTCTAATGCAAATAAATTTTGAAACCGAGAAAACAATTTCTTTAAAACATAAAAAGAAGGATGCCCTAATTGATAATGCAACTTAAGAGGTGTTATAATACTAGAACAAGCGATAGGTCATGGTATAGGATGTGATATAGGTTGAAGATGATACGAGCTCTAGACTCACGTCCTCTACCAATAATCTTCTTTGACGTAAGATCTTGAAATAGACAATAGTCGGGAAAAAATGAGACAACAACAATTGAGAGCTCGAGTGATTTTGTCGATCGACAAGTAGATTAAAAGAAAAATAGGATAAACATAAGACAGATGACGAAAAAAGATGATGTAGGAAGAGTCTGTTCCAATTCTTATAACCGATGTGGTTGACCCATCAGCCGCAGTGATACTAGGAAGATTTTTTTGTGAAACAAAAGAGGAGAGAATATCTTTATTACCCGTCATGTAATCCGTAGCACTAGAATCAATGACCCATTTGAAAGAGAATGAAGCAAGACATGTAGTAAGTTTACCTGTCCCATCACTAATAGCTAGAGGTGTATTGGAAGACTTTAGCGAGGATTTATGTTGAGTAAATTGAGCAAAATCATTAATAGACACCATTATAGACTTTTCAGATGAGGAAGAGGTCGGACTAGCCTCTTGGGTTGCAAAGTTTGCAATATGAACTGACTTTTCGGTTTTCCCATGAAGCTTCCAACATGAACGCCATGTATGACCAGGCTCTCCACAAAAATAGCATGTTATTGGGCTATTTTGATCATTTTGTCCGCGACAGCTATTTCCTCCATAAGTACCACTCCTACCACCTCGAAAACCAACATTTTTTGGTGACCTTTGCCACTTCGACCTCCTTGACCTCCTACATTCCAACTACCTCAGCTCACAAGAGCACTAGTAATACTAGGAGAAGGTTGAGATGTCTCCGTACGTAAGATTTTAGTGAAGGTGTCATGACGAGAGAACTTTTGGACTAGAAAGGATTTGTGTGTGAGCAGCATCAAATTCAGGTGGTAGGCTTACAAAAAAAACTCATGACAGCCATCTACTCATGTTGAGATTGTTGGGTTTTTACATCAGGCTCCAAAAGGAGTGAGAGAATTCAATTCCTCATAAATTCGCTTGAAATTCATGAAATATTCAGTAAGGGTTCTATCTTGTTTTTCCGGATGATAGAACTCTTTACATACATCATAAATATGGAAAAGATTATCCTTACCAAATTATAAGAATACCAAATAATCCATAAGATCTTTAACGAACTTACGGTGACTACCCGGACCAATTACCTCACTCGTTAATAGAGTTTTGAATCTATAAATATATTCCGGCATCCGCTGTCAACCAAGCCTTTTTTTCACATCATCGGTTGGGGGATCATTAGTAAAATGATCATCTTGATCAATACTCCGGAGACACACACACACCGTTTTACTCCAATCTAAAAAATTTTCGTCAATTGAGTTTATGTTTTGTAATCTTTATTGTAGTAACAACATCGGAGATCATAGTTTTCTTCTTTGTTCTGCCAGCCATTAAACAAAAAGAAAGGAAGAAAATAGGGCAGCAAGGTCGCGACGACTCACTAGGGTAGCAAGTGGAAAGAGAAAAGAAGAAAAAAAAATGTGGTAGCTTACTAGGGCAACGGTGTCAGTTGCTTAATTAGAGCAGCACCTTTGATACCATGTAATTTATATTAAAGGACTATCTCACCTAAAAGCTTAAGTCGATAGGTGAGACTCTAGAATATAATTTATATTAGTCTCTAACACATCTCCTCAAGTGGAAGCTAAAACATTTGGACTTAAAACTTATATAGGTCCACATTGTCTTGTGCTTAATACTTGAGAAATTGAGGATGTTGAAACTTGAATTTAGGATCACGTGGTTAACTAAGTTTTGATACCATGTAGAAATATGAGAATAGTGCAATATGTTCTTTCATTGAAGTGCATGAGTACAACATGTATATATATAAGTCTAGGATCAGTCTAAATCCCTAGAATCAAGCCTAGAAATCAGCTCTATAATTAATTTACTATATTTACATGAGAATCAATCCTATAGTTGACTTACTATATTTACAACACTTCGAAATATGTTGTAAGTCATTTAGATATTGACTAAATGGGACTTACAGTTAGATTAACATACGATATTTATTCATATCGTAATTCAAAGTATAGTTGACTTGTGCATGGGGAAAGCTTAATCAACTGCATGAGTCAAAGCTTCTTATATATATTTTGCACCTGTGGGCCTCTACTACCTGGATGCTGAACTTGAGTATTGGAGAAGCCCATATTCCTCAAGCGCTGGTACAGTTGAGCAACTCTGAAACAAGAAGCGTGTCTATAAGCTGTACAAAAATCGTATAACTAAAACTATTCAAGTAAAAAGGTAAAAGGTTGGTGCAATCAGTTCAATATGCATGAAAGCCAGTTTAGGGCTCTCTTGTAGTACCTCAGATATGGTCAAAAGGTGCTTGGAATTTGGGATCTAACGTCATCAATTAATATATTGTTTATTGGTGCTTCACGAAATGATGTTACCTTTTCTTCATCCTTTTCTCTTTCTGAACATTATTTACTGGTTGAAAGTTCATTTAATTAGTTTTCTGGGAGAAATTCAAGTCTAGAACTGAACGGTGGCTTAGGATGTCATGAAAAAATCAGTCTCATATTCATTTTTTAAATTAGAAAAAACATTTATCTTTTCACTCAACTTACAGATTATAAGGAAATCTATGATTTGAATGATTTTTTTTTTTAATATTATAAATAAATTGTGTTCTATGATGTTTAAAGCACGCTTATTATGGGCTTGAGGGATTAGAAATTTATATGGTTAAAACTTGGCATTCCCCATGTTTTTTTTTTTTCGCCCTATTTATTGAAGTCGCAAAGTTCTTTGTTCATTTATGGTGACACTTGTGTAGCTTAAAGTGAGGGAATATTGGAGTATACGTTATGAATGGGTGTGATCATTAACATAGTTATTGGAGGAGTAGCCAAAATTTAACCATATACTTGTTCTACCATAATTTTGAGATGCTTTTTGAGGGTTTGAGATTTTCTTGGCTGAGAGCTACCTACAACGAACTTGGATGGTTAATTAAAAATTTACTGTTATGTTACCCAGTTCTCTCCTGTTTTTGCAACTTCAATGATGATGTCTCTAGTTCATTTTTGAAGGTTTTAATTTGATAAATTTGTTTAGTTAGTCTAACCTACTATCTACTATCAGGCTGCATGACTGCTTGACTGCCTTTGTTCTTGTTTTTATTATTATTTTGCTTGCTGTTTACATTATTTTTCTATGCAAGTATATTTTTTCAAGCAATTGCTTTCTATTTGTATGTCTCCAATACTAAGTTGAGAATTCCTTGCTTTTCTCCATTCAGAGCGGTTGTGTGTGAAGGAGGAATAGATGTAAACCTGCCATTGCTCAACGGTAGAGATTTGGGTCTGAAGCTGGCTTGATCAAGTGATCTTTGGAGATGGCTGTTTTACGCATGCAGAAGAGTTTTTATTGTATTCCTAACCCTGATACAACATTTTTGGTTTAGTCTTTGGCATTATCACTATTGAGGAGCCAACCTCATAGTTATTGAATCTGGATTAGCTACAGAATTTTGAAGACTTCTAAATCTGTCTGGGATTCTAAACGCATTTTTTGTACTCTCCTTAGGAACACAAGGCTAGGATCAATGATCAGTTAGATGCTCCCACCAGGTGTACCCATTTTTCATTTTGCAAAGCTAGTGTATTCTTATAGCAAAATATTTTATTTATTAGATGCAATTATATTGTAATTGTTTCATCTCGAACCATAGAAATTTGTGCGTATTAAATGGATTTGTGTGTATTGAATGGAGGATCACAGAGATGAGGGCTTTAGCAGAAACAGCTGTATGTCTGAACAAAATCTCTCGTCCATAATAAAATTTGATTACGCTTTAGAATTCATTTCCAAGATTTGGGGCACTAGTTACATCCAAGAGTTGCAGGTTGTTCAAGTAGTGGTTGTTTCTGTTTAGGTGATTTAAGCACTTATTACTGCAATATCAGCAGTGAGAGAGAGCAGCAAGCGAAGTTTGTGCTTAATGGTGGTGGTAAATGCCCACAGGCTTCCTCCGAGTGGAAAGCTTAGCCAAAGATGCTGTAGTTTGCTGGAAGGTATTGTTTGCAGCAGTTCACATGCCATGCATCTAATTACACAAATCAACTGTCACCAGCTTCTAACTTGGAGAATTAGAAGGCAATGTTGGATTGTGTTGCAACAAATTCTTGTGATTTTTGCAATTAATGTTAGAAGGAAATGCGCAGCATCCATATAGATTTATTCATCTTCTTATTACTTCCAGCGAGCAATGAGGATTAATGGATAATGGGGTTTGAGATTCATGTTTGGATAGTTTTACCACAGGTTCTTGTCATTTACTGGCACCGTAGGACATACCTATCTTGGCAATCTCATCGCCTAATAGGCTTTTCCAGAACAGCAGAAAAGAAAAGCTCATCCCCAAGCTTATCTGTCTTTGGTACAACCCTCCATAGTAGTTTCTTGTAGCTAAGCCTTGCGAACTCATCCAAATACAGCCTCATGTCCTCTTTGGTACAGAAGAAACGATCCACCCAGAGGAGCCCCTTTGGTCGAAGAACACGGTCCCAATCGAACAACACAAATTGGAGAAGTTCCGTCCCAATCCAACCATCCAAGAAGAGAGTAGAGTGAATGATATCGAGTGTGTTGTCAAAGAACGGCAATCTTGATCCAATTGATATATAGAGAGGCAAGAGGCCTCTTAGAGCAATCACCTCGTTAAAAGGGGCCCCTAAATTTAAGGTTGCTGATGCAATAGTAACATTCCTTTCCTTCATAAGTGCAGCAAATGTGCCAGTTGTGGGGCTAAAATCAAGTCCAATACGAATCTCTCCTGGCTTCAATGCTAAGACTTGATCAATGGTGAACTCAGCTGAAACAGACTCATTCGTTGGGATCTCCCATCCCCGTTTCGAAAGATCAAAACAATCTGCACATTTGAAGAAGCCTCTTCTTTTTCTTGTTTCTTGGGAAACAAGACAGGAGTAGCCTTTGCATTTATAATGACTCCACAAGATATTAGCATCACTAGGTTGGGTCCAAAGAGAGGAGTTTACAGGAAATTGCTTGCTGTAGTTTGGAGATGCTCTTGACAAGCATCTCCTTCTTGGTAATGGATCACATCCACTAGTAATAAGCTTTTGAGCCAAGTCCCAATCGTCTGGGCACCTACCATACAATTTATAACTCATGAAACGGTTTATATTTGTTGCCACATGGGCACATGTTAAGCCAATGGAAGGACTAATTGCCTCCACCCCAAGAAAATTTTTCTTGCCACTTTTCATGTTCGGTTTTGGAGAGGTATAGTTATGAAGCTCACCTGTCTTGAAAACCTTTACAGCCGGTGCTGCTTCTTGATCTTCACTTTCCTCAGGTTCGCTAAAATCTTCTTCCACCCTGATAATTCCATTGCCACTAGCAGGAGCACTGCCTAATAAGCTGGAAAGGGTGTTAACAAGCTTGTCCAACGATATGGCTATGCGAAGAACTTGATCAGAAAAAATTGCTACTTTTGATTCTGAGCTTTCATTATGCAGCTGCCCTAGCAAGAATCCTAGTTGGGTCTGCAGATTGGAGATTTGGCTATTGAGTGAAAGAGGCAAAACAATATGGCTACGGGAGATATCAGTCGTGTTGGTGTCGAAGAACAAGTGAGGTAAAGTATTGGTGTCGAAGAAGTGAGGATGAGTGACATCGGAACTCAAGATGACAATTGTGAGGAGGCTAATGAGTAAGAGAGGACATAACATTGCAAGAAAGCCTCCAGGATGACATGTTAAAGATCTTGAGGTGCTCTTTTTCTGCATTTTCTTATACGAGTCTCTCTTCCCAGAATTAGAATTGCCCTAAGAAGCTACCATTTTGTGTTCAATCTCTTGCCCTCTTTGTCTAAGATCTCAGATCCTGCTGTTTAATCTTTTATTAATGATTCATCTTCCCTAGATTCTTCATTTCACTCATCACTATTATTATTGACTTGGAGATGCAAACTACTTCAGAAGCAAGTGGTTTTTTTTTTTTTTTTTTCCTTGGATAATGTTAAACTAATAGTAGTAGACCATTTGTTGGTTTCCAAACCAAGCAAAACCCTAAAAAATGTTCCCTACAGTGGAAGCAACGCCCTTTTCCACTGTCACTAGCTCTTTATATTTACTCTTCATTCCCTTATATCAAAAATCAGCAATCAGAATGAACATTTCACAATAATTACTGCTTGTTCTACCAATCAATCTGGAGTCTGGACTAGCGTTTCCCATACCATACAGAAAACCTAATAAGGAGATGAACCAAGCAACAATCTGGAAATGCATTTTACATGTTGCAATGGCACATTTTTCTAGCAACACAGAAGAAATAATTGTTGCTCAAACTCCTTTTAAGTCTGAACCAATCATGGAAAAGCAATTGCATTTAAAAGATTAATCGCAACAATAGAAATAGTAACACAAGAAATAGGAGCTCTTGTCATTTAATAATTTCAGATTTCCACAAATTTGTTGGCAAAGATGACTATCCTCATTCCTTGGCTTAATTAGTACTATAAAAAGATAAGTGAATTCATAGATAAAATTGACAAGATTACTTTCAGATTTGTATTTAAAAAGAAAACAGAAACAAAAATAGGAAGCTGTTTTCTTGCCATTAGCACATCAGCAAAACTGGAAGACGACAAAACATTTATCAATTTCTCTACTGATCTTGTTGGTTGGAAATCCACATGCTAAAATAGAGCTCTTGAAAAATCACTGTACTCTCTTAATTACCAACTGTCCCCATTTTTATTTTGATGCTGAGGGTTATCGTTTTCTTCTTCATCCAGATCTTCATAGTTTTCTCCACTTTCAGATTCATCATTCTCCACCTCTTCCTCCTCCTCCTCATCATCAAAATCATCATCTTCATCTTTGCTGCCACCATGATTGTTGTTACCATTAATACTGCACTTGGGATCTCGGCCTTTTGCAGCGTATCCCTCAAGTGATGAGGAGGGGAACAAACCTCCAACCTTACTTCCTTCATTGGTTAGAGTTTTTTTCGAACCCATTGATTTACCTTTGTTCATCTGATGCAATAAATAGGATCAACGCAATTTTACATTAGAAAGTTCAAATTACCTTTATCATCTGATGCAATAGATATAATTCATACCATGCAATGCAAGAGTAGAGAAGGTCAAAACGACCATCTAGAGAAGAAACTACAGCTACTACAAAAGTAGTCCCTTTTTGTTAAATAGATTACATAATTCATAAATGATATAAATGAATTTCTGATTATGATAGATCACACACAAACACACAATATTTCAATCATGAAATACATGCCAACAGGCTCATTTAAGGCACTTAGATGAAAGGGTGTCTTAGCTGGATAATAAATAAGGATTCCTAAGAAAATGTTGTGAAAAAGACCACATCATACAGTGAAAAACACCTCAGCAAGCTGAATTATGTGGTCTGATCATCGCTTTTAGCCCAACATTGCTACAGGAAAAGGTGAAGCTTATAAAAGCTAATATGATAAAGCATGTATCTTATAATGGAGAGGGAACCTAAAAGCATGGTCAGTTCCGCCGTAATGAGCAACTCTTAACATCTACATATTCACCATTTTTTTTTTTTTTGGAGAAATATCTACAAATTCACTTTAATATGACTTCAGGATGGTAACAACAATTACTGTGTCAGTCACACCTTATTTTCCCAAACAGACTTCAGGATGATAACAGCAATTGCTGTGTCAATCACGCCTTATTTTCCAAAACAGACTTCAACAAGCATTCTAGCTAGATTTATATGTCAACTCCAAGAAATTTATAATTTCTTTTCAAAGTTCATTTTCTACTTGGTTAGTAATTTGAAATTGAATGTCAAGTTGGCAACATTGAACTCCCAGTGTTGTATTTATTTGCATCAAATAATGATGCCACCTTGAAGGTAAATGTTTCTAGCAAGGCAACAAGACTGCAAGAAGGTAGACCCAATAGGACCCACTGCTTCCAAGTTGGTTGGAATTGAGGGGGCGGTCCTGTTCTACAGAAAATCCAACTAAAGCAAAACATTTACAAATTACTGGTTGATAAACAGTCAAACCCATGAAACAAGTCAGCAATTATCTGAAAAAGTTAAGATGAGTAATAGTTTCATCGCCAAATTGACAAATGACTTTATGAACAAGTCGTAGAAAGTATTCAATAACAGACTGACTAAACCCAGCAATCACTGAACAAAACAAAAATATCAAAGTCATCATGTCCATTATCCTGCATTCATCTAGACCCCACTGTAATTTTTGGAGGAACGGGTCAATAGGAAGATAAGTTGTTCTATTCTAGTGTTGCATCATCATTGCAAACATTCAAAAAAGAGCCAGCAATCCTAGCAAGTCCTCATTGAATCAGATATCTCCTAGAAAAGATTAGCACTTAATCCAAGTTTGGAGATGTGACATTGTTAGTTAAATTCTTTAAACCACTTGATAATTAGTAACCTACAGAAGAGTAACTAGTATGCTATCTTCCGATGATTACTAACATTTGTTCCTTATTCTTGTTTAAATTGCTAATGAGGAAAGCCAGAACGAAGTACAAAATGAAGAAAAACAATTTAACTTCTAAGAACACATAACAAAACTTGTAAGTAAATTTTACAGCTGAAGAGAATTATCCTAAGGAGCTTACAGCACGTAGGAGAGACCTACGATCCCTCTCTCGAGAATTCTTAATTGCCTGCAATAATTAAAAACAATGAAAAAACCCATTACTCTATAATTCAAAAACAACCTTATCTTTCACATCGAACAAACACACACACACACACAAAAATAAAAATAAAAATTTGCACAAAATAATCCAAGCAGACAAACAAACAAACCAACCTCCTCAAGTGTCTTTTGCTCAGCCTCTACTTCTGCAAGGTCTCTACAAATAAAAGGAACAACAAGTTTAAACACACACAAGTTTCAAAATAAAACTCAAACTCTGAGAACAACTAAAAAAAAAAACCTTACCTTCCAATTATGCGATCCACACTGCAACGACACTTCGCACACACCTTTTGCTCCTTTGCACAAGCTATATATAAGTCAAAAACCCATAACTAAAATTAAGACCACCATTCTTGCTATCATACAAAGGAAAATTTCAAAAACTGAAACATAAATAGCACTAAATAAGAATTAGAAAACTAACTAACCAGTGCATAAATTATGATAAGCTTGACGGACTGCACGTTTTGAACACTTTTGACTGCAATGCAATAACACATTCAATTCAAATCAAAACACACTCAAATTATCCAAGTTACCCACTTGAATTTTCAATGTAAAAAAGAACTTTTCTTGCTCTTTTCACTTCCAAAAACAACAAAAAAGCACTTCAGAAAGGGAAAAAAAGAACAAAAAACAAAAAGACCCATAACTTAAAGAAAAGTTTACCATTTAGCAGGCTCAGTTAGAGGCTTGTATTTGCCATACCGACGTTTCCAATCAATCTGTTCTTTACATCTTTGGCAAACTCCAGTAATCTCTGACAAGGGTTTTAGCCTGCCTCCAACTTCCTAATTTGAAGTGATTTCTGGGTTAGTTTAGTTAGTAATTTATAAGGAAAAAAGAAAAAAGAAAAAAAGCCTCAGTGTTTTGAATGGGGTTGGCTGATGTGATTGAGTCGTTACCGTTTCATTGATTTTGCGGCCGGCGTTGGGTTTCCAAGCGAAGCTGTTCTGGTGCTTCGGTGGACCGTGTCTGTTGCTCATCGTCCTTCCTTCCTTCCTTCTTTGCACAACTGCTGCTTACAGCAACTCTCCTGGTGTCTGAGGTTTTTAGTTTCGGAAACCTACTACAAAGTATAATTGTGATTTGCTTGGATGTTACTTCTCTGTGCTTTTTCTTTCTTAAATAGCAACAAAAGTGGTACTAAAACATTTTTACAATTGTTATTTGGGTCCTCAAACGTAAAACGTCTTCCAATTAAAGTATTCAGATAATTAAATTTACTTAATCCCCAGAAAAATTCTTTTATGAAAATTATTATTTGAGTCCTCAAAGTAAAACATCCAATTAAAAGGTTCTAATTTTTAAAAAGAAAAAATGAATTTCATTAATATAGAATAAATCTAAACATATAAATAACTAATATTAGTTTGAAAACTAGTCCAATATAGATAAAAAAAAAAAAAAAATCACCATCTCAATTTTGAAACCTCAAACACCAATATCAATTCCCATCTTCGCGCATTGTCATAGTCATGAGCACCATGATTTTTTTTTATTTTTATATTCTAATTCAACCAACAATTCTTCTATTTGGTTAAATAACTAAAAATGTCTCAAAATTCATACAAAGACGAGAAATTACATTTAATTCTTAAAGACATGAATAATCGCATCTCAGCCATTCATGATGGTCTTTTCTCCAAAAGCTCATTACTTGAGAAGTAATAAAAAAAATTAGTAAATTTTAGAGAATTAAAGATACACATCAAGCTCATAGGAATTAACAAACATAAAACTAAACTAACCACTCTAATAACTAGCTAATTCATTAATTTTAAATTCAAATAAATCTCATCTACCATCAATGCCTCCGTTGAATCTATTGAGCATAACACATTGGTAATAAATTCATCTATCCTCCATCGAATAATTTTACACGATAAGAGAGGAAATATTTTGTATTGAACCTTAGTTCGTGACAAGTTAGTTAGGTGTGGAGAACATTATGTATTTTTATTTTTTCAAAAATTACACTTCACGTTCTATGGTTTTAATATTTTTATAAAATCTAACGATGGCCTTTTTTAAATTCTTTCTAATCTATTAATAACTTTTCATGCATTTCAAACTTGATAAATTTTAATTTTTCACTTGATTTCTTAAAAGTGTAATGCCATAAGCAAATAGTTTATTTTCTGTGTACCGTCTTAATCTTGTTCTCTTAAAAGTGTAATTCCTAGTTAGTTTGCAGGTATTGAATTAGAATCCACATTCTCAATTCAGTAAACAAAGATACACAAGTTTTTCTTAGTTCATGTGAAGATTTATGGATTTTATACTATACAATAAAATGCAAGTCTCTTTCATTACATAATAATTTAATAAATTAAAATTATTAGAATTCGAATTCGTTTTACTGAAAAAAAAATTGCTGAATACTAAACGGATGGGCTATACCTACTTGTGTATATATATAAGATTTTTTTGCCATTGGATTTGGGGATTTGCCAAAGTTTTCCTCCTATAGGCTCTAATGGACATTTGAGAAATGTGTAGGGATGACAAATTTCTTAAAACACAGTAGCCGAAAGAAACAAAAGCAATAGCAGATTTTATTTTTTATTATTTTTTTTAATGCTCATTTCTTTCTTCTTCTCTGCAAAAAAAAAAAAAAAAAAACTAAGTTAATCTCCCAAACTAAAGTGCAAAGGATTTCATTCAATGCCGATTTCTAGTGTGTTTCTGTTAAAGGATTTTGTTTACTACGTGAAAGTTTTCATTTTCATTGAGAATTACGTCAAGTAGCAGGTCTCTGCTGTGATTTTGAGTGATTTGACCTTTACTTCAATACTTAACCATAACTGCTGCCCCTAAATCAAGTACCCAATAAAAATGTAAGTTTCACACATGCCAATTGTCTATGAAAATTATTGTTATGGTGATTGGGTTCATGTTTTATTGCACGTTTCTTTTTTGGTTGATGGGAAAAGTAAGGAAAAGAAGAAAAGAAATTGAAAAATTTGAGTTTCCTGGTTTCAGTATATCAAGTGGAGTAGAAGCTTACAAATGCTAATTATCATACCATTTTGTGTGGCCTTCAAAGCTGTGCATGTGTTAGCTAATTTGAATTACAATTAGATGCTCTTTGCAGAGGAGGCTTATAAGTTTTGTTTGGTTGCCAAGAAATTATGTCTATGATTTGTGGGATACAAGGCAGTAGGCAGAAGTATCACATCCGAGTTTGAACAAAAGAAAAGGAAAAGGATTACTTTACAAGATTCCATATTTAAAAAGATCAATTTGATAGATTTAAAAAAAAAAACCACTTTGATAGGCATTCGAGACAGCAACCTTTGGCCACTTAGCTGAATTTGAAGTCTTTATCGTCACTGTGTTTGTTTCCGAATAAGATTCTTACCCTGCTGCGGGGGAGGGGGTGTTCAAATTATTCTTACAAGCTAAGAATGTGAACATTTGATCAAGAATAGTATATTTTTCCCATTGAATGAATTTTTATGTCTTCTTTTAATCCAAATCCAGTCTTCCAATTCTAGCCAGATGAGTTCATCTACTGTCCTCCACCTGCATTTAATGGGTTCTGCAGACTATGATTTCAGCTTTTTATCACCATCAAGTAGAATTCAATATTTGTACCACAATTGCATTTGAGATTTCTTCTCTGTCTTTATGTCTGAAGACTATGACTTCACCATGGTGGCCACAAGTTTCTTTTGCTGAGTATCTGCAGAAATTTCTATAGTCTTTTTTTTCTTTAATCTATCATAAGCAAACTAAGGGAAGGTTTAACCTGCATATTGACTTGCGTATGAGACCTTTCTTGAATGAAAATAGAAACTGGTATACCAGAAGTTGACTATTAAATTCTTTGCAGGTTCTTTAACATGTAAGGATTTAAGTTGCTCAATGTTACGTACGGCTTATGCCTCAACCTCCTGCTCTAGACCTGCCACGAGCTATTTTGAAAGAATTAACGAAAGGAAGATGGGAAAATAGTTTTCAAAAGCAAACAATACAACAAACGAGAAAATAGATGATGGTTTCATTCAATATCCTTTGGCCTTTATATAGCATTCATCGCAACGGTAAATCAACAGAAGTAAAGAGCTAATCTCCAGGAGCTAACAATTTGATGGAAGCCCAGACCAACAAAGATTATGGTGGCATGACATCAAGGATGCAAGCTGATTGATCCATTGTATACTAGAGAAGGTCAAATCATGTGGGTGTGGGCTAAGGCGAAGAAGTTAAAAAAGGTTCTTAATGGATTTGGGCGAGCAAGTTAGGCCAAGAGTGCAACTAAGGCCATTTTTAGAATTTATGAAGGACTTGGCGTATTTTTCCAAAAAAAAGGAGGCTCCAAACATTACCGATTTGAACTGAGCTACAAGTTGGATTAATTAGGCCTATTAGTGGTTTATCATTGGTCTTTTAAATTCTTTTTAATTAAACTAGCTCGAATTTGTTATTTAAGTCTTATTTAAGTATGTTTTTTTATTTGATAATTAGGAATAAGTTATTCTCCAATATCTTAAGAGATTCTAATATTTTAGGGATTGAGACATAATTTAGGCTATTAGGGTTTTGTTTTTGTTTTTAGCCTATATAAAGAGGCTTTGATGTGTACGAATTTGGATAGCTTTTGATTTCAATAAAAGTGAGGTATTTTTCACATTGGTTTTCTCAAGAATTTTTAAAAGTTATCAAGTTTTCATTGATAAAACTTATGGCATTCAAAGGCTTATCACTCCTTTTCTTGTTTGTCCGAGTATGGCACCTATTTCTTCTTTTGCTTATAATTCAAGCCTTATTTAGACTTACGGTTGGGGTTCATAAAAAAAAAAAAAAATTCTAAAATCTAATCTTAGCTTTCTTGGAAATAAGTCATCTTATTTATAGGTTCTTAAACACATAATATATAGGGTTCATATCGATTGGTATCGGAGGAACATTATAAACTCAAGTTTTATCTATCCTTTTTGTTTTTCACAAAGATTTTATTCATCTTTGTGTGTCAATTCGTTTACATCATTTTGTTACTCTTGTCCATTTTTCCCATTCTCAACAAAAATTCAATCTTGGGTTCTTCTTCGATATCTTATATCCTGTTGAGTCACATTCATTGAATTCATTCTAAGTGTATTCCTTTGTGTTACGTGTCAAAATAGGGTGCTACTATTCAATTCTAAAAAAGAACAACAACGATTTGGTTTAGCTTAGCAACTAGCTGAATTGCATTTACACTCAACAATAAATCAACTAGTGTTCTTTGGTACAATAAAAACACGCAGGTCATCATCATTTGATAATTCTCGTCAAATTATTCAATTTTGTGTCAAGTGATAATTCCGTCTAATTATTCAACTTATGTCAAGTTTGTCAATTCAATTTGTTTCGCATCAATTTTTTTCCGAATAGTGCTTGAATCCGCCCATTTTCTCAATTGAGATATTTGGATAAGTTTTGTCACATATTTATTCTTTTGATCTTGCTTGAGTTAGTTTAGTTCAAGAAAGAACTACAAGGCAAAATATTAAGTAGTAAAAGGCAAAAGTGTGATCCATCTAGAGAAAAAGCCTAAAAGAGTGTAAACACGAGGGTTGAGTATCATTGAATCGAGAGAAACACATGAGGAGTTTGTGAGGTGTTACTAACATTTTATGCAAATTACCATCATGGAATTAAAAGATAAAAATTAAAGTGCAGAAGGTGATCAAGATATGACATTCATTCTTCAAGCTATGCGAAGAACACTTCGAACACATGACTTGTGTATTTGGTGAGATAACGGACTAGATAGAGAGGTAAGATGTTGCTACGACCGAATTACGAAGGGGAAAATGTTGCAAGATCCCTAATGTAAGAAGGCTAAGAGGGCATGATCAAGGGGATGAAGAAGAGGTAGATGATGGAAAGAGGGAAACCTCCGACCGAGACTTGAGCAACATCAAAATGAACATCATTTAATGCTAAAGGAAGAATGACCTAGAAGAATATTTAGAGTGGGGGAAGAGAGTGGAGA